ATATCTCTAAAGCAATGCCCCCCATTTTTCTATCTCTTTACAAAGGGAATAAAGGCAAATATGATTGGTTTGTGCTCATGTGGGGAGAGGATTGGAAGCCCCCAAAAAAAAACGAGTGAAAGTGAAATGATAGATGATGATGATGACCATTAAAGACTTCGATGCCGTTTATGTGACATTGTGAATCCACTTGGGCCCACTTCGGATCGAATGTCCCATGCGAATCATAAACCCATCACACGAGTGGATAGAGAATTGTGTTTATTTGAATCGGGTCGCATCGCAGACATGTTGCTTGTTTTTTTTTAGGGAAAAAGGTTTAAAACAAAAAACCTTCAAATTATATTCATAATTATAACACGTTTATCTTAAATTTTTCTTATGAGATATAAAACCTCAAGTTTGTACCTATATGACACATTTACCTTCCGTCAAGGTTCCGTTAAATGATTTTTCAGTCAAAACAACGTCAGTTTTATTTCTCTTAAAGTCCCGTGGATGTCATATCAGAACTATTTGCTTTCTGGCATCTATGTAGGTAGATTTTTAACAGTTTCATCAACAAAATTTAACAGGGATAAATGTGTCACATAGGTATTAACTTACGATTTTTTGTGGGCAAATGTGTTACAATTGATATATTTTAGGGTTTTTGGTAGCTTCTGCCCTATTTTTTATAAGTAGATTTAAGGGTCGGTACCACTACAGCTGTTAGTCGGATTTAACAGCAAGCGGAATTCATACCTTATACTGCATTTCATGATCAACAATTGCTTCACCATAGCACGTGTTTTATCGATGGCCGAAGACGCGATCGGGAAATTAGGAAAACGCCTTACCCTTTCACGATTAATCATCCTTACTCGATCCAACGATACACTCCATGGATTGCTAGCAAGCGGAGGTTACTTTATGGAGACATGGATCGGTCACGCTTTGCTATCTTACTCTTCTAGGATTGGTACATGTGAAGAAGAAGACGGCTTCTTTCATTTTGTCAACTGAGACTCGAGCACGAGGAGCCCCATTCTTTTTATGGTACTTGCTTATAGGGGTGAGCATGGTTCCATGGAAGAACTTGAAACCTGAGAACTTGTAGGTTCCAAGTTTCAAGGTATGCAGGATAGGTTAAAACCGATTTCGACAGGTAAATTCTAGGTTTTAGGTAGGTGGAACCTAAAATCTTAAATAAGTTCTTTGTGTTTTTTCTTAGTCTATATCTTTGCATGATCATGCGGTGTTACATGGCGTTAGATGATGAGTGTAGAAATTGGCATCACTAATCTGAGCTTTCATTTTATGACTTATTAATGTTTTCATATTCTTCGTATATCTAAATATAAGTTATGGTTAGTGGATCGTAGCAATAAGTGGTGATCATTAAATGCGATGATTCACTGCAATCATTCAATTAATAATACAGTTATAACCTAGGTAGACCGTGGAGGTAGGTTACAAGTTCCGAGGTATGTAGGGTAGGTTCAAGATTCCAAAAAATAAAGAACTTGTTCTCATGGGCAGGTTCCGGGTTCCAAGTGGAACCTGTACTGTACAGAATCTGGAACCACTCACCCCTACTTGCTTGGCCATATGAGGATCTTTCTCCCTGATTTGGGATGAGTACCTCTTCCCTTCATGGGAACAATTTGAATATCACAGGTCGGGTTTGTGTCGGCCCATTGTCCTTGAATCCCACCAGGTCCAAACTCCGACGGCTATCTTGTAATACACATTTTAAAATTAGGGTATCTTGAAACTGAATGAGACAGTTTCCTAAAAACTGTTATAATATATGTAAAAACTATAATATGTACCCACTCACAAGCACTATTCGAGTGGCTATGGCCATGAGCTTTGTGGCGAGCTCAAATTGACCGACCATGGCCATGAGCTCATGTTGTCATGGTGTCTATGAGCTTGAATCTGAGTGGCCACGATTGTCACAAGCTCAGAGCTTGAGCTCAACTCGCGTCCATGGCAACCGTATGGATCTTTCTCATATGTTGTTTGATGTGACGCCTATTTTTTTGGCCCAATTCCCTAAAAAACCCCCAACTTTAGCCTTTGTCCCAAATATATCCCAAACTTTTTTTTGTCTAATAAAAAACCCCAAACTTTACTTTTGTCCCAAATCTACCCCATTTACTATTCATCCAATTTTTAATATTATTTTTATTTTTTTCGAATTTTTTTTTTTTTTTTTTTTTTTTTCACCTTCAACCTCAGTGAGTCGCCGATCCGGACATCGACCGAGGCAAGGGCGGCGAGGTCGGCCTGCCGGCCCGGGCGAGGCTCGGCCTCGCCGTTCTTCAAGCGAGCCGACCTCGCGACGGCCGGCGGGGCGAGCCTCGCCAGATGGCGAGGCTCGGCCACGCCGCGGTGCGAGGTCGGCCTCGGCTTGCTTGGGCGAGGTCGGCCGAGGCGAACCGTCTAGGCGAGGCGAGCGGACCTCGCCAGTGCCGTGGGCCGAGCCTCGCCAGATCCGGGCGAGGCTCGGCCTCGGCGTTCTTGGGCAAGGCCGACCTCGCCGCGGCCGGCGGGCCGAGCCTCGCCGGATCCAGTGAGTCGGCCCGCCGCCGTGGTGAGGCTCGGCCTCACCCGGAAGCGAGGCCGACCTCGCCATCGGCCCCCGCAGGCGGTGCGAGGTCGGTGAGGCCGAACCTCGCCGTTCTTCAGGGCGAGGCCGACCGAGGCTGAACCTCGCCGTTCTTTGGGCGAGGCCGACCTCGCCGTTCTTCGGGCGAGGCCGACCTCGCCATGCCGTGCGGGCGGCCGATGGCCGAGTGCGGGTCGGCCTCGCCATTCTTGGCGAGGTCGAGCCTCGCCCGGTAGCCGGCCGGGGCCGACCTCGCCGGTCCTCGCCTCGGCCGGTCGCCGGACCGGCGGCCAGGCGGAGGTTGAAGGTGAAAAAAAAAAAAATTCGAAAAAAAAAAATATATTAAAAAATTGGATGAATAGTAAACGGGGTAGATTTGGGACAAAAGTAAAAGTTTGGGGTTTTTTATGAGACAAAAAAAAGTTTGGGATATAATTGGGACAAAGGCTAAAGTTAGGGGTTTTTTAGGAAATTGGGCCCTATTTTTTTTTAGCATGGTATGTCTATTTCAACATCCCTATTAGCAATCCGGATAGCCATGTCAGCAAAAATCAACTAGCAACAAAAGCAAAATAATGGATGGCGTAATAGACATTTTTAAAAAGTATAGCGACTCTTTTGGGAAAAAAAAGGGACAATTTTTATTTTCACTTATAAGTAGAGGAATTGACTTTCCAATTTTTATCCAAAAAAATAAAAAAATAATAGAAAATAATGAATCCGTTAAATTCTAATTGTTTAGTTTCATCAATAAAATACAAAGACAGAGTTGACATATGGAATTGCACGGAAAATATTATTTATCTCGTACGAAAGAATCAGTGCCTTCTCCACAAAAAGAAGTGGGTATTCTCTCTGGATGCATCCTCCATGGGCCTATTTGGTTCAGCATTTTCAAGGGACTTTCCAAAGTCCCTTGGCCAAATGCAAATAGTATTTGACAATTATTTTGGAACACTTTGGGAAAATGCAATTGGATTTCCAAAGGCTTCTAAAGGCCTTTGGCACAAGGCAGGTCTGAAGGTACATTGGCAAGTTGCATTTTCGGAATGCAAGTTTACTATTCATAACACTGTTTATGAATTTTTCATTTTCCCCGAGCAACAGGTCTAGAGGCCGGCAACTGCCGCTTGGGGGGTCACACAACCCTTGCAACCACCGTTTGGGGGTTGCTCGACCTCCAGCAACCGCTGCTTGGGGTTGCACGACCCAGGCGACACCTAGGTCACGCGATCTCAGGCTGCCTCACCTGAGGTTGCGCGACTCAAGCAAGCGTTTGCCTATATCATGCGACCAAGGCGACACCTGAGGTCGGGCAACCCAGACGATGCCTAAGGTCACGCGACCTCAGGTGAGGCCGACCGGCATTAGTTGGCAAGCTGCCGTTTTGGCCCGCCAGTGGTTGAGCTCCACCTCAAATTTTTTTTTTAAATATTAGCAAAAGTCCTTTACAAAATTAGTTTTTATCCAATGGTATTTAGGTCAAAGTTGCTTTCAAATGTGATTTTAAAATACATTTTACCAAATACTATTTGCATTTTAGAAAACCCTTTTAGCAAAAGTCATTTACAAAATTAGTTTTTATCCAACGGTATTTAGGTCAAAGTTGCTTTCAAATGTGATTTTAAAATACATTTTACCAAATACTATTTGCATTTTAGAAAACCCTTTTAGTCCAAAGACTTGACATTCCCCTAAAGTCGAATCAATCGGGTCCTATGGCACTAATGCAACCAACAAACCAAAACTAAATGTGCATGTACATTCACAATGACCTGCACTTCCCTCTCCAGATGCTCATGCTAGTCATGGAGAGTTCACCCACCCTCCATGGATTCACAAAAGAATGAACGATCCTCGGGAAGCGGAGGCGCGGGCGCACTCACGAACCACAAACACAAAGAAAGCTGTGTATCGATGTACTTCGGCACGATTTCCACCTACTACACAAGCCCATCCTTTAAATTCTAGCGACGACAAGAGAGAGCAGAAATGGTGTCTAAGAGCACTGATTCCCAACTTGCTGTAGTTTCCTACTTTGTGCGAGAAGTAAAAATTGAAAAAAATGCAATGATCTCTCTCTTTCGTCAGGTAAAAATAGAGAGCAAGGTAATTATTGCGAGAGTTCGAGAGGATTACATGCTACATCCCTGCGGTTTTTACCGTCCGATCTGCAGCATAAATTGAGTTCCTATTCTGTCTAGGAGCATCATAAAAAAAAAAGAAATTGTTAGCTACTGCAGCAATCGCTTTCGAATTAGAGTACCAACTTTAACAGAGAAACATGAAGGAGGAGGAGGAAGCCATGGCGGAATGTGGAATGTTCGATAATGTTACAACAGCTTAGGACCAAAATACATGAAGTAAAACATCCTGCTCCAAGGCTTTGGTATCGGTCGAAATTAAAACATCCTGCTCCAAGGCTTTGGTATCGGTCGAAATTGGTTGGAGAGGTATGTTCTTTCTGCTCAGAAGTTAAATGTCCATCTTCTAATGTAACAAGTCATTCCATTAGATTCTGAATCTTATTCTCAATTAGACCACTTTCCATCAACGTGTCCTCATACTCCAGCAACAGCGTTATAAGTACCATATACAGCAAAGAGTAACCCGCACATCAAAATGAAAACGTCCAGAGCCTTTTGCCAGAGTCTCAGGGAAGGACCCAACAGTAACAAATGAAACGAGGCCGGCAAAACAAACGAGAGAAGTGCACAAACGGTGCTCCCCACAAGGGAGGCAAAGACTCCGAATCCTGGCACACAAGAGGCCAAAGCAGCCAATCCTAACACCACAGCAGAACGGAGCGCATAAACCACACACTGCCCAATCTTTCTTTTCAAGTAACTGAGCTCATCGCCGAGCAGTTTATGAAAACAGCCTGTCCTTTTCAACTTATCTTCAAGAATCTCGTTAATCGGATGTAACATGATAGGGAATGTGAATGACAGACCCAAGCACAATCCAATCTGTTCCCAATTTAGCATAAATTAGTAAAGTTGAATGGTTCAAGTATGATAGGCAACACGAGATAACTAATAAACCAGCCAAATTAAATCTTAAGACAACTCTCTCTCTCTCCGCCTATTTATCTAAGCATATCCTGCTTTGCAAACCGACTATCTTCTTCTTTCTCCAAAATGGGACTACAGAGAAGATGAAGATTGAATGCATGTATACTTCATGGAGACTCATGTCTCAAGGACCTGCATTTTGGAATAATATGTGATGAACTCACCCAGCTTCTCTGTTAGATTATCAGAACATCACACTGGGATTTGCTTGTTTAACAAACTAAGATTTCCACAGAGTATCACATTGCGATATGAAATGCACAAGATCTAGATTCTGGAATGGACACGAGCAAGGATATAGCAGTGCCTCTACGAATTATGCATTCACATAAAGCTTATTATTAAAACACCTTACCTGAACAGCAACTGTTGTCCAAGCTCGGGGAAGATTAAGCGTGACAATCTCTTCCGTCTGATCACCATAAGCCATGTAACCACAGAACCCGAACATAACATAAACAAGTATTATGCCTGTAAAAGCCTGAGCCAGCACCTTTCGGAATGTCCTCCTCTCCTTCATTGATGCCTCCAATGCCAATGTCATTCCAAACCCCTCAAAACAGAACACAGCCATTCCTCCCGCAAACGGCAGACCCCGAATATTAGGGGAGATAGCTTTCCTATCACTAAACGAAAATTGACCACCTAAAGCTTGATGTACATCTTCTTTGACCACAAACCCCATTGCTATGACATTGCATACGTCGGCAAAGATGCTAAAGGGGGCCAATGCTGATAGAGTGTTTATCCATGAGAGAGCAATCTCAAGTGGCACCAACAGAAATATGAAAGACGCAAAGGTGAGTCCATGGCCTTTAAATATGGAAGAAAGATTCTGTCCAATGAATATAAGGTACGCCACAGCTCCTCCACACTGAGAAATCGTTATGAGAAACTCAGTGAGGTAGCGACCTGCTTGTCCCATGCACTTACTACCCAAGTCCCCGTAAGTTTTTACATCAGCCGACTCTTCTTGAGATGCCAATTTGTCTCTGCATTGAACCTGTGTATATTAACATTTCAAAAATTATCTTCTTGATGAAAAGTAAAAATTACAGAAAACAACAAACTAAGCCTGGCAGTTATACGATAAAATCATGAAAATATACACTAAACAATATCACCAAGACAAAACTGATTACGGTGCTGTAGACTTGCAAGGCAACATCACTGAGGGATGTACAATCGGTACTTTTCGCTCAAGGGGCATTAGGTCTCAAGTTCAACTCATACTGAATGCAACCTATTGGGCCAAGTTACAACAAATTCATTCCTCGCAGATTCCTAGTCCGATGTGGATGGCCTACCTCCACCAGACCAGGAGACGGAGTTAATTTTGGTGTGCAAAAACATGTCGAGCATATCACATGATTGTCAGTTGTCTCAAACGCGTGTGCACATACACAAAAGCAACGCAGATAGCCCCATTTTGTGGGTTCAATGTGAATCTAACTACAAAGCAAGCTCTACAGGCTAGATTTGAAAGGGAAGACCGATACCTAGGGGGAGCACTGAGTGGGGGATAATCGTTTAGGAATCATCACAAGATCTTGCTGCTCTAGGTATTGGGAACGTAGTCAGCGACATTCTCCAAACACTCAATCTTGAATTGAATTGTGGAATTCTCTCCAAGAGCTGCGGAACTAACGACTCTATTAGAAAGTCAAACTACCAACTTTCACACAAATTTTCAAGTGGATGAGATGGGTCGAGTGACCTCAGTTGGAGATGGGATTGCACGTGTTTATGGATTGAAGGAGATTCAAGCTGGTGAAATGGTTGAATTTGCCAGCAGTGTGAAAGGAATAGCCTTTAATCTTAAGAAACGACAGATTGAACCCAGTGGGAGCCACACATCTAGCTGCTCAGGCACACTCGATCTACAAACACTCCCATACAAAGTTGGCACCTTTAACTGAATAATTCACGGATAAAACACAGGATGAAACGAAGTGATTCAAAACATATACGACTTATAAAACAGGACACTCAAAAGAAGAACAGTTATACATTCGCCTATGAATTATCAGCACTGATGTCAGGCCAAACACTCAAAGGTGGTAGAAAACAACGCCTGCCGCCATTTTCGAAATAACAGAGCATTCACAAGACGCCATATTTCACCCCACCCAGAACAGACTACAAATTCAATACCCAAATGATAGAAAAACAAAAACCCAGAAAGAAGCACGAACTTCGAATCACTCACAAGAATGAGCATGCAATAGTAAGTAGAAACGCCGGCGACAATCACTCCAACCGCACCCGCGAGCCAACCGGCAACCTTGAAAGCGAAGGGCAATCCCAGAACCCCCGTCCCGACGATGGAGACGATGATGTTGCCCAGCGTCTGAATCGACGAAGCAGATCCAGCGGCCGACGCAGAAGACGATTCGAGCAGCGGACTCGACGACCCTTTTCTTGCACCGTCTCCCATCGTATCCGACAAGGGATGCTCCAAGCTCTCTCTCTGCTTTCTTGGAGCACCCACAACGAACGGGAAACCAGCAAGCTTCTATCAACTTCGATCTAGAGTCGAGTCGGGACGAAGACGAATGAATTTTCTGCTCTGTTCTGTAGTGTCGTTTGCGAGGAGAGCAGAGTGACCGGACTCGAGTCGGCCACGTGGGACGCTGGAGGAGACAGATGGGTCAAGGTTTGGCAGCAAAACCCATCATGAGCTGAGACACCGGGATAAGGAATCTGCAATCCGAAACCCATGACATATGATTGGGACATGATTGACTATCATTCACTGGCAATCATGATAGCAAGACAGAGGAAATTAAGATCTACAAGACAAAAAAAAAAAACATAGGTGTCGCTTGCCGTGTTGCTTGGGCAATGGCTAGCTATGGTAGCGGGGCTGGGCTGGGCCGGGCCGGAGCGGAGCTGGACATGTCAAAATGGATCATAGACTTATTATTTAACTTATTTTTGATTGGTTAATTTGTTATATGGGTTAGTTTTGTTCAGTAAATGAGTTTAGAATGGTAAAATCCAAAATAATATGAGTGTTAAATAGATTCACAGCTTGCTTAAACCCAACCTATCTCTATAACTCTCTCTTCACTTTCTCTTGCATTTATTAGATCTCACGCTCGCTCGTTCCACGCTATCAGCTCAGTTTGGATATGATTTTTCCCAAATTGGCTAAAATATTGAAATATTTTAGTAATGTGAGTTAGGTCGAGTATCGGTCGTTAAATTTGTATTGTGTAAAAACGAGTCAAATGAGTTAATTTGGATCGGATCATTTTCTACTCTATCCATCCGTTTGATGGGTCTAGGCCGGACGGGACGAGAAGGGACGATGCAAGGCAATGTTCCAAGCTCATGCCGAATCTCTGACTCCCTATCTAGCCTACACCCCATGTCCGCCTATTGCGTATGAAGAAATTAGGCTCAATCAATTAGAGTTGTTAACCCGCGACAATTTATTATTGTAGTATCTTTTTAGCGATCTCAAACTTTACAGCTAACATAGTTATGAGTTAATTAGGAGGGATGGTCGGATGCTTCAATGAAAAATAGGAACTTAAAACTTAATTTACTACATTTTATTGGTGGTTAAATAGACCTTTTTTCTTAAGATAAGCTTAAATTAAATTGAGTGGAGATGCAAACAGGAAAATAAAATGTATAAATATGGATAATTCAAGTTTTGACACACGTGGATCGAATTAAAACCTCGCATGGCCGTCATTCGACTCATCTCTAAAATATCTACGACCTCGACACTTTTTTTCTCGATTGGACCGCAATTTTTGAAATATTTTGTCATAGGTTCCTTATTGCACAATTCGAAAATTTAGCATACAAAGTTGAGCCAATTTGTTCTTAACACAAAACTCGAAACGCCACATATTGCTTTGGCGTTGATTCACAAGTCGGCGTAATTTTAGTGTTTGTCGTGGTCGGACCGACGGAACCTTACATGTCCCATAACCTGCATACTGCTAGCCTACACTATTCACAGCCTAATCTGGGCCGGTTTTAGTGCCAAAAATCAATCAATCGTCCATTTTTTTTCTACCCTTTTGCATAATTTTTCAATTGTTATAAAGAATTTTAGATGTATTTAGAAGCATTTTCCGAATTTTTCTAATTTTAAATTTAAATTTGGCTTTGTCCAAAAAAAAATTAAATTTGGCCAATTTACAGGGGCCTACAACACAGGATCCTCTCTTCTGTTTTTTTTTTTTTTTTTTAAATCTCCTCAATTGGTATATTTCCTTTTCACGGTCTTTGGTCTTAAGGTCCCTCTCCCGATGTAGGATATGTAGGACCACCCCTTGATGTATCGAGGGTTTTATTTTTTTAATAGATCTAGAGAAGGAAAATAATCATTATTCCGCCAAAATAATCTATGAAATATATTTTTACTAGGTCAGCGAGTTTAAATACTCAGAGTTTTGCATTAAAAAAAGGGTTATATCTATGATAAATTTACCAAAAATTAATTTTTTGACCACCAAAAACCTCAAACTGGTACATCTGTGATAAATTTACCCTCTATTGATTTAAGTTTAATTTTACCAACAAATTGCTTAGATAAATGACACGTGGCAGTTGACAAGTGTACTAGTTTGGGGTTTTACCCATCTATTTGTTACAGGTTTACCATTTTGTGATTTTTTGTGGTATAAATCTAATTTAATAGAGGGTAAATTTACCACAAGTGTACCAGTTTAGGATTTTTTAGTAGTCAAAAAATTACTTTGGGGTAAATTTATCATAGGTGTACCAGTTTGGGGTTTTTTGTGGTTAAAAAAATTTATTCGGGATAAATTTATCATAGGTATACTGGTTTGGGGTTTTGCGTAGTATCAACCCTTAAAAAAAATCTACGTAAAGATGGTCAAATGCCAGATTATAATATCGCAAGGATACTTCGGGTATGCCAAAGTCATAAAATTTTTCGCGTGAAGATCACTTTCAATTTTAAAAGGGATAATGACACAAATGATCCCTAAAATTTAGTTTGATGCGCAATGTGATCCATGAAGTTCAATTTGTTCAATGTAATCCCTAAACTTTATCCAATTGATAACGTGATCCTTAAATTTTTAATTTGTTCAATATGATCATTGGACTTTTGGTATACATTCAATTTAGTCCCCGAACTATATGAAAATTTAATATTGTCCTTCTATTAATTCAAGTCCAAGGACAACATTGAATATTTTCATAAAGTGCATGGACTTAATTGAACATATACTAAAAGTTCAGGGACCACATAGAACAAATTAAAAATTCAAGGGCTACATTGCATTTAGGGACCACATTGAACAAATTGAAAGTTTAGGGACTACATTGCACATCGAGCCAGAATTCAAGTACCATTTATATCATTTTCCCATTTTGAAAAACACATTAAAGAAAGTTACCAGAAGGACCCCGAGCAAAATACACGTGCTCTAATATTTTCAAAATACATATACACACGTTAGCAAATAAATAGTCATGACATATGGTCAATCAAACAAGCACACATTTCAAACATAAATTTTATACATGCCAAATCATCAGAGGCCTAATACCTTAAAAAATCCCCAACTTTAGGTCAAATCCCAATTTTACCGTTTACTTTTTATATTCCATAAAAAAAAACCCTCAACTTTAGGCCATATCTCAATTTTATCGTAAAATTTTTTTTTTGTCCCATGAAAAACCCTCAACTTTAGATCATGTCCTAATTCTATAGTCCAGTCCCAATTCTACCATAAATTTTTCAGTATCATAAAAAAGCACAAAATTTTACTTGAGTCACAAATCTGCCTCCACTAACCATCCATCAAAAGCTCTTTGTTAACAATCGAGAGATGGAAAACTTCCAAGCACGAGTCATTCGAGCGTCCTGAGCCGAGCGTCTCGGACACGAGTTCTTCGACTGTGAGAGATGGAACACTTTCGAGCACGAGATATTAAAAACCGAGTGCAAAATTGAAGATCCATGAGTGAGATGAAAGGAAAACTCTCTTAAGAGTAAGAGCAATTGAAGAAAGCCGACCCTAATTGCTCTAGTTTTTATCCTAATTTCATATCCAAGAAGACGTTTGGCAAATATGGAATTCATCTCCAAAAGATGTCTTCTTGGATATGAAATTTGGGGAAAAACTATAGCAATTATGTGGAAACACCAGATAAGATCACTAAGGATGATTTTGGACCGAGGGTTTTTGGAGCCAGATTTGGGATTTAAGTAAAAGTTGGTGATTTTTATGAGATAAAAAATTAGGGTAGAATTGAGATTAGACCTAAAGTTAAGAGTTTTTATATGATAAAATTTTTTTATTATAGAATTGGAACCGAAGCTAAAGTTTGAGATTTTTTATGATATTATATTAGGCCAATCATTAGAGGATGCTTCATTTCTCGCCGCATCATCACATGACCGACCATGTCATCATTTAATGAATGCTACTATATACTATGTCATATTTTTTATAGGTCACCTTGCTACATCATTATGCATATAGATGTTTATATTTTTAAAACACACGGAGCCGGAGGCACACGTGACATTTGGAGTCATGCTAGGACATAAAGAGCCGTGAATCATTTCTCTTAATAACATCACTAGAAAATTTAGAGTTACATTTCATATAATCTACACATCCCTGATTACTTTACTTTCGTACTTGCATCTAACGCTCCATTTGTTTCACAAAAAAGATTTTCTGGAATTTTTTTTCTTCTTATTTTCTGGTATTTGGTTCGCTTAAAAAAATGAGTCAACAGAACACTTATATTTAAATTCAGGAAAATGATTTCCACTTTTAAAAAGTCGGAAAACATTTTTCAAAATATGACTAAGTATTGGCGCTTGGATCCAAAACTCTACACTTGGACACGAAAACCTAATGTTGGTTCCCAAGTCGTGGCATTCAAGACTAAGTCTCCAGCGGCCGGGCCCGGGTCCATCGAGGCCTAGCCCTGGCTCCTAGTGCCTACGCTTGGGTCCATCGAGGTGGGACCTGAACACCTGGTGCCTTGTGCCCGAAAATATTTAAATATGAATTGTTGTTAATAATGAAAAATATTTTTTTTATTAATTAATTATTTCAAGTGATCATTTTTTGAAAAATGTTTTCCAAATCATTCATTGTCCGCGAAACAAACGGAGTCCTAACAAAAAACTCGAAGCGGCGCGTGGTGCTTCGGAGTTGATTCACGAGTTGGTATAATCTTGGTGTTTGTCGTAGTCGGACTGATGAAACCTTACATGCCCTGTCGCCTGCTTATCACTAGCCTCCACTAGTCGGCGCCCAAATCTGAGCCTATTTTAGTGCCAAAAATCAATACATCGTCCTTTTTATTAATTACCCTTTTGCGTAATTTTTCACTTATTATACAGTATTTTAGATGTATTTTGGAGCATTTTCTGAATTTTTCTACTTTTGTTTGTTAATTTGGCCAATATATAGGGCCAATACTACACAGGATCCTCTTTTCTGTTTTTTTTTTTTAATCTCCTCGATTGATATTTTCCTTTTCACGGTCTTTGGACCACCCCTTGAGGTAATTAAAATCATTACTATATAGTTTAGCCAAAAAAATAGTCATTACTATATCGATAGTTATTTTTTTAATAGACCTAGTTATTTTACTAGGTCAATGAGTTTTAATACTCAAAGTTTTGCAATTAAAAAAAAAAAATCCACGCATAGATGGTCAAATGCCAGATCATGATATCAAGAGGATACTCCGGGTACGCCATCGCTTCATAATTTTTTATAATTCCTTGCCTTTGTAATTTTCCAGTATTTTTCTTCCTTTAAAAAAAAAAAAAAGTCAATGATCATGTAGACAAGTCGGTCTTGATTGGCACAAATATATATACTGCTAGATCCGCACACACGCATACCAAGTCCTGATCAATTCGAGAAATGACCTAGTTAATTCAATTATACGCCGGGTTTATTTCGGTGCAATTTATATACCTCTCCAATGCGCTAGCCAAACGGACGGAAGAGTGACCCGTCGTGATCACCGTTGCTATCCAATCTCGAGACATCATTTGATGGAACCACTTCTCAAGTTACTCACTCTATGACGCGCGGTTGATGACTATCGAGATAGATGAATAATCGATTTAATGTTAAATTTGACTTATGTCTCTTATTAATTTTTATTTTTCCTAACCCTTGATCTTCCGAATTAGTAAACTCTTTATTTTAGAATTACCAAAAGTCCTCGACCTTAGATGAATGAAAAGCATATGTAAAACTAAACCATGATCGAATCTCTTTCTTTTTTAGCAAAAAGAGTTAGGAAAAATTCAAATAAGAGATTGAACTGCCATCATTTTTTTTTCGAATAAGGGGTTAAAGTGAATTCTGTGTCAAATAAGGATCCGAAGTGCTCTTATTTTTTCAAATAACGGTTTGAAGTGATTATGTCAATTTCAAAGAAGTACCTCACTTTCCGAATGGTCAAGGACATTTTCATCCTTTAACTTTTTTGAATTTTTTTCCCTTTTTTTCTTTTTCTGATTTTTTTTCTTTCTTCTTCACTTATGGAGATGCTCAGAAAGGGTTGGATGAGGTCATCTTCGAAAGCCACCGGCAAGGGTGGCCCTAGGCGACCCTCGCCCAACCGCCGCGGCCACCGGCGAAGAACAAACCAGAAAAAGAAGAAAAAGAAAGAGAACGGAATTAAAAAAGATAAATAAAAATGGCCTTTGGACGAAGATGCAATTGATCGGCCGAAATATTTAGCCGACAGGCGACTGGTGAGGTCAGGCCCTTATTTGAGATTGACATGGCCACTTCGGGTTCTTATTTGACACAATGTCCACTTTATGCTGTTATTTAAAAAAAATGGAGACACTTTATGCCTTTATTTGAAATTTTTAGGCATTTTATACCTTTATTCGAAATTTTTCCTAAAGAATATTTTCTCGTTTTTGCGTATATAAAGTAAGGCGGGATTTTCTTTCGTAATAAAAGTAAAATAAACGGGGAAGACGGCATTTCCTGCTCTTCTTATTTTTTTTTTGTCAAACTTTTATGCACATCGGGAATATAAAAAAAAGGGGGGGTAAAAAAAGGAGAAAAATCCACGTAATTTCACCAAAGAACAAGGCACGCCGTCCATTTCCACTTTCACCATCTTCTCCACCCACCCGCATCTTTTCTTTTTCCCTTTAATTTTCCCGGAAAATGTGAGAAAACCTATTTTCGCCCTCCTCTCTCTCTCTCTCGACCTTGAATCTGTTTTACTTTTCCTGGAAAAAAGCCAAAGAAAATCTATTCTTGCCGCCCCTTCCCTCTCCCCCTCCCGCACTTTCTCTCTCTACAACAAATGCGTCGCGCGGATCGAGAGAAGGCGATGACGACGCGCTGAAATCCGCGCCCCGGAGGAAGGACAAAAGTGAGAAGAAGATGGAGATGGGCCCGGCGGGGTAAACAGCTTCCCCTCCCCTCCCCTCCAGAGTCTAGGGTTTCGCTTTCCCGCTCCTCGAGGAGGACAAGAGAAAGCAAAATCCAGAAGACACACGCCCCCCTCCCTCTCTCCCTCTCTCTCTCTCTCTCTCTCTTCCTCTGTTTCAATTTCGTTTTTCCCTCCAAACGGCCCTTGTTTTCCCGGGGGGGGGGTGGGGTGGGTAAATGAGCGCGTCGCATTTCCCGAGGAAATCCGATGTTCCGGTGAAGATCCCCTGTTTCCCCCGGGTTTTGCCGCGTGGCCGGCGCCGTTGTTTTCCCTCCGGCGATCCGGGAGAATAGAAGAGGGAGATCATCCGTCTCTGGTTTCGCGGCACTCTTCTGCCCCCTCCCCGTCGAGCTCTTGATTCGTGACCCGTTCGCCCAATGTAAGTGTAACGAAACATCCTCTCTCTCTCTCTCTCTGTTTCTGTCCTCATAACGAGCGCGAATCTCCGTGTCCGGAAGCGCATCTTTGAGCAGATCGATATCCAGGTCGAGGGAAAACGAGAGGAAAACGACCGTTGTTGAATTTCCGTTATTTGATGGCAGTAATGTCTTTCTTCTTTCTTTTTTCTCTCTTTTGAATATGCCAGCGATGATGAGAAAAGCTCTGGGTGCCTTCTGGTTTTTTTTCTCTTTTAAGGAGTCACGCGCGCGGCTTTCTTGCATGAGATCATTTGTTTTTCGGGAGTTTCGAAAGAGGGGGAGTCCGCCGGATTCTCGTGTCTGATCTGCCTCGGATTCAAGAACAGTCTAATGCTTGTTCGGCTATGGAAGCGGTAGAGGCATTGCGTTCGAGGGATTCAGATGGTTGTCGCGGGTGTAGTGATGGGCAATGTTCAGATGATGGCGGTACTTGGTTTCGCAATGTCAAGCGTAAATACGACGAGCTGCAAGGCAATAGAAGATTCTTCGTGCCCGGGGTTGAGTACGATTCTGTCGCGAGGGTTGAAATCGAGAACGAGATCGCGGCGCTCCGCGAGATGGTTTCTAGCCAGCAGAAAGCCATACAGGATTTGACCGTGGAGCTCGAAGAAGAGCGGAATGCCGCGTCGTCCGCGGCGAGTGAGGCCATGTCGATGATTTTGAGGTTGCAGAGGGACAAGGCGGAAATCCAGATGGATGCCCGGCAATTCAAACTATTCGCGGAGGAGAGAATGGGACATGATCAGCAGGAGATCTTGGCCTTGGAGGACCTGTTGTACAAGAGAGAGCAAGCCATACATTCGCTCACGTGCGAGGTACAGGCTTATCGACATAGAATGATGAGTTATGGGCTCACTGTGGCGGAAGCCGATGGGGAGCATTGCCGCCAGCATGCCGATGGTCATGGCATGACTGAAAATCTTGATTGCCGATTTGAATTTCCATCTTATGAATATCCTCCTTTGAGATGCCACTTCAACGGGACATCTGGTCCATGGGAAGGTGAGAATGAGGTGGTTGACGTTGAAAAGTTTGCACATGGTGAGACTCCCCATGGCCGTAATGAATTGAAGGATTTGGAATACCGAATTCACCAAATGGAGCAAGATCCCAGCAACAATCAGTTGGATGGGGATTTTCCTGGCCTTGAGAACATCCCAGAGAAAGTTATAGTAGGTCAATCTCCTAGGCAACCGCGACATTCGAGGAGGTCTTCTAATGATGGTTCGGGCACATTTATTGGAATCAGTAAAGACGCTGGTTCAGACTTGCCTCTTGATTCTCCGAGACTCACGAATAGCTTCAAGAAGATGGAGTGTGTTTCTGAGACGGAGAGTTTCCATCAGCCAAAAAAGCTGAATAACACACCAGAAGCTGATGATGATACAACCGATAGAATTTGCACAATTGATTCAATCTATACAGGCTTGACGCCCACGAAATCTGCACACGGCAGTCTTCAAGAGGACATTGTTACACCAAGATACACTTCAAACTGCATCAGCGGGGATCAGGATCCAGATATCACGAAGCTCTACATGAGGCTTCAAGCACTTGAGGCTGACAGGGAATCACTGAGGCAGGCAATTGTCTCAATGCAAACTGATAAAGCACAAATGCTATTACTTAAAGAAATAGCCGAGCGTCTTTGTAAGGAAAGATCACCAGAAGAACGCATGCCTGTCAGGAAGCCAGCTCGCTTTGGATTTTTTTCCTCTGTTTTCAAGGTGATGCGTCTTTTTTTTGGGTGGGGGTTGTTTAACGCCCAATGTATTGTCACCTTTATTTTGATTTATGACTCATGCTGACTGAAGTCTTTCGAATACTTATGGCAAACACTATTATCTCTATTTTCTGCTCCACTTTTTGGGGTAGTGTTTTCACTTAGTTAACTGATTGTGGCGCCTAAAAAAAAGGGCTGTACGGAAGAGGAGGAATTAACTGCATTGTGCTTCTCGGTTCTGCAAGATATAGAGGGAATTGAAATGCTGAGGCTGTTGAAAAATAGGACTAGTCTGTCAAGGAAAGTATCTTACCATATGATTTTTGCTCGCTCATTCTCACTAAAGGCAGTTTGTTGGGATGTTGCTTCTTCAACTTCTGCCATTAGTTTGATTTTCCTTTGCCTTTCCTGCATCTGACCTGTTTATTTAGATTTGTTCTATCATATTGCATAATCAAGTAGCTTTGCCTGTTGGTCTACTGGCTATGCTGTTTCAACAATGAAATTGACATTCTTGTCCTTTATGTTTCTCATTTTATTTCCGTCATTTATAAAATCGATGCGGCAAGTTGTTCTCCTGGTTGAAGCTGAATATTTGTTTGATCTAGTGCTGACATTTTACTTTTGGTAGATCGTTCGGTAAAGATCTTGTTGGTGGTTTTGTTGTCTTTGTTGAGCTGGTATTGGAAATTCATTATGCAGCATTGACTCTATGGAAAAGGGGAAACTTCTTTCTCTTTCCATGTGTGGTGCTGCTTTCTCCCTTTTCAAAATAGCTCTTATAACTCTCTCTTTGCTTTATTTGCAGTGGATTGGGTCCTTCACCTTTTGGAGGAAGAAGGCTCGTAGAAGCAAGTGAGTACCGTTCTTTTTGGTGCCAAAATCATACTATTATACTTGTTTTCCTGTATTTCCATGTGACAGCTTCTCAATTCAGACTTTTTATGCTACGTTTTGTTTTTTCGGTGCAAAATTGCGTTAATTCTTGATTTCGTGTCGAGAAATATGCATGCAGTGGTAAATTAATTTTTGAATGAACTAATAGTACAGACATCTCTCGTGTTGATATTTAAATGTTTTGGATACGACTTGTGATTCACCCTCATGTTGTGCATTAAGGATGATTCTAGCTATCGCCAGATGGGAAGTTAATTTGTGAAAATTCGGGAAGTTTCTTATACACCTCATAGAACACAAATTTTATCTGATGGAATGGCACTTGAGTGCATAACTTGTTGCGGAGCAATAATCTTGCCATTAGGGAGCAAACTTCCCAGTTGGTTTTTCTCCGCATAGAGGTATGTACCTTTGTAGTCGGTGCTTTTTCCAAACACCTCTAGTAGCGACGAACTTCATGACTAAAAAGAACTTATCGAGCAACTAGGACACCGTGATTTGAAACTATTCATACTTCCAGTTTTATGTTAGCATGTATCTTGACATAATTAATAACCAATGAGTTCCCCTGCCTGTGATCTCTTATCTTGGTTGTTTGAAGATCCTTTATCTTCGACTCGTCACTTGCAGGTACTTGTTTGGGCTATCGCCTGATTGTGTGGGCTTGCTAATTCTTTTAGAAGACAGACCCCGGACAAAGCAGCGGAGATATCTGACACGTGCAAAAAGGGCGGCGGCTTCAACTGTCAAACTTCCATATCCATAGCAAGCCTCTCCTAATATGCAGAGAAACTGAGAACAGTTGAGGACACTGAGTCTAAGCGTGTCTTTTTTTTATGCCTGTTTCAGAGATAGTATGTTCTCATTCAATTTTTTCATTTGATATGATTTTTCGGCTTCCTTCAGCAAGTGAAACATGGTTGTATGGCGTGCTCTGATATTTTTCTTACATTCAAGGTGGAGGTATGCCTCTTTTGAATTGCCTCTCTCTCTCTCTCTCTCTCTGTAACCTATATTTACTTGACTCATCGAGTAAAGCTACACGGGCTTTTTTTCAGCATGTTGTTACAGTTCTGGGAGTAGACTCTTATGTTCCTGCTTCATTTCACTTTTTTTCTGGTCGAACTGCTTCATTCTACTTAGTCTGCAGATTTTCTATCTTGTCCAGAACATGCATCAGCCAATCTCCTTTTCTCGCGACGGAGGCTCAAGTATATGCCTGCTTGACTATCCATCTCAGTTTGCAAGACCTTCGGATAAGTTTGATTACTCCACGGACTATGCATCGAATTTAGGTATTCCTGTAATTGGGTCATCTTCTTGGTTAGGCTGGATGCTCGATGATTGGTCATTTGGTGGGAGCTAGGGCTGGTTACCGAGGGGGCTAAACATGTAAGGACATTTTTAGATGGTTTTATGCCATTATTGTTCTTTGCTGAAATTAGCAAGCCAAAAAAAAAAGAAGTTCCCGCTGGAATACTTTTACACTGGATTTTCTTTTTTGAAATAAAATGTTGGTTTTTGGTCTAGTATTTAGGCTTTTGTTTTTTGTGCTTCTTAATGTCATTTTTCGGGCAGAAAAACCTACAATCTTAAAGACATAAATAATAGTATCTGGATTTTTCTCCTTAAAAATACCATTTTTACATGGTCGGAAGTTCAAATGCTGTAGATTGAAAGAGCTTCTCCCCCAAGCAAAGGTAAAGAGATCAATCTAGTTTGATCGACCTGTGCAAGAGTTGTTTGTGCGCCATTTATGCAAGATTTACGCGAAATCCTCTCCACTCGATTACTATCTTTTACACTCTTTCGGGTTAACTTTCCTCGGGAGTATAGACATTTCCATGACATCACATTGATAATATTGTATAATCCGTCATCAACCCTCAGCTGTTGAATGACACTGATTGATGCAAATGTCAATTAGTTGATATTTTCGGATGCGTTCGGGAATGCTTTACCAAGACGACTATTAGCACTTTGGAAATACCTTGAGTGGAGTCATGGGGCCTAGCACAGTTTTTAAGGCACTTTGAGCTCAAAGTTGCTTTGTCGAGGCTCAAATTTGAAGGCAAGTCTCCGCTTGCATTAGAGTTGAAGCTTGGTCAATACTGCCAAGTCGTGTCAATCAATTCTCCAAAGTTCCTATCCTACCCTCTTTAAATTACCGAAACTTTAACTATATCCTAGAGAGATGATGGCAAAGCTTGCATCCACCACCTACCACGTTTAGGTGGTTCTTGGCTATGGTTGCGCGATCCTATGATCCACTTGCCCGGGGGTATGGTGAGTTTAAATGAGACAGATTTTTGCGCGTAGAGGAAGAGAGATAATGGTAGTTGCGTCCACCACCACCACGACCTAGTGGTCTTACCCGAGATTGTGCAACCCCTGGCAAGGTGTTGTTGCGGTCGTGTGACCCTAGGTGAGAAAAACCCAAGTTAGATAGATGGGTCAAGACCTCGACGAGATTTGTCTAGCCTTGGTGGCACCATCCAAGTGAGGCCTCATTTTGGCCCTAATGCCATGATGCTCGGGTGGGGTGATCCAGATTGGGCGAGTTCACCTTGCCCTTTTCAATAGCGCTCCACGCTCATTTTCTTTAATTTTCATTTTAGGTTCATTTTATTCTTATTTATGCGAGCAATTAATTTTAGTACTTTATGTGAAAGGAACATAAAATTTCTAGCTTTATTGACTATACTTAGTAATTGAGTAATATGTAAATTGAGCATTGAATTAATCAAAGAGCTTGTAATTTCAACTTTACCAAATAATTACCACGAAAAGGTTGCTTTACCGTGACATTTTAGATACTGAATATAATCAAACGCTCCTCGATTTCAATGAAAGCCCCGTAAGGAAGGGGTCCCATGTGTCAACACAAAGTATCAAAGTCGAGCTATTCCCAAACTTCCCCGACGTACACAAGAATGTCCGTACCAAAAATTAATTTTCGTAATTTCTTTTTCGAAACAAAAGAAGGGTGTCTATCTAGTGAAATTGTTGCGAAAACAACGTCTAGAGCACTTTTTCACATGTGCAAATGTGAAAAGGAAAAAAAAATTGTTTTAATATTTAAAACTTGTGAAAAAATTAAATAAGATTCTACTTATCAATACTTGGACTTTAGATAGAATAGGTTTTAGACATTCCATGCTAAAGAAAGAGCTAAATTTTCGAGTGACGAAATTTATAAAGGCCAAGACTAGCTGCAGGCCAAGCAGCAACCGCCCACGCACTCCTATGCATATCGCCGTTCTATCTCCATCTCGTCCTGCACGGATTTCTATACCCGTTTTTTCGGCCGCTTTCGACAAAGTCTCGGGACTCGGTTTCTGCTGATGCATTGACCACTGATTAGACGTTTTCATGGGTAAGTCTTCGAGAAATGACCAAGAATGCCGAGGGCGGAGCGGTTCTTGAACGATGGACGGCGAATGCTTGGTGTGGAGGAGCACAAAATGGGATTTGCCTTTGTCCTGAGGGGTTCTTGGTAACGGCGGTGAAGAAGAGCGCAGCTTCTTCGAGCAAGACATGGCAATTGGAATTGGTTTTAGCTTTGCTCTGTTTTGAGATCAGAGAGAAGAGAACATATGAGAACATATGAAGGAGATTTGCCTGTTGCAAATGCAGAGAGAGAGAGAGAGAGAGAGAGAGAGAGAGAGGGGATGATGAAGATGATGTGGTGGGAGCCGAATGGGGAGAGACTTAACTTTAAAACAGTAGGCGAGGAACAATTTATAGTTCACTAGGGTGAGACACTTTTTTTTTTGTCAGAAGAAAAGACTGTTCATTGATATCTAGTAAAGACAGAACCCACTTTCGGGGTCTCAAAACAAAGCAGATCTCTAAGGGCCTGCGGAGGATGAGTCAACCAGTGTTCAGTGAGTGCTTTTTTACTGTGTGTCGTAACTACCCAGTCCGCGACACTATTCCTGGACCTATTACAAACTCGCAATTTTATGTTTGAAAACGAAGACAGCGGCTCACGTGCTTCCCCGAGGAGAGCACGATGTTCCTACACATACCTTTTGGAGACTTCAAGTGTTGACCAGATTTAGGCAATCGACTCCCGGGATTATGTTTTCACCCGCACGAGGAGAGAGAAATTTGAGGGTTTCCACCATGGCTAGGCTCTCGGCTTGTTCGGCGGAGGAGGCGAGGACGTCCTTGGCAAAGCCGTCGATCAAGATCCCAGCTGAGTTGCGGCATACACAAGCTATTGAACCTTCAAAGGAACCAGGTTGGTGAGCTGCATCCATATTTACCTTTGTTTCGCCCCTCTCTGGGGGACTCCAGACATCCTCCTCAGAGTGGTTTACAGCTTCAATTGGTCTGTCAAGGTTGTTCCATCTGTTGAAATTTTTTAGCAATTGTCGTCCTCTTTCAACCAGCAACTGTGGGTCCGGGAGGAGCCTTCTAAAGACGAGGCTATTCCTTGCTTTCCAGATTTCCCAGAGGACAACAGAGACTAACTCAAATTCAGGGGAGTTGTTGCTGCTAGGTATGAATTTAATCAGCCATTCATCAAAGCGGGAAGTTTGGTATTTTGAGATCTGGATGTTGAGTGCAGGAACATCCCAGACTTCCCTTGTCCACTTGCATAGTAGGAATGGATGTTCTGTGGTTTCTGCATGAACTTGGCAGAATGAGCAATTCAGATCAGGTACCAGTTTCCTTCTGTACAAATTTTCCTTCGTTGGTAGTGCGTTTTGGCATACGCTCCATACAAAGTTTCTGATTTTGTGGGGAGTTTTCATTCTCCATATCCTGTTCCAGAGTTTAGTAGGAGTTTGATGAGAGGAGGAGGCAGGTTGAGTTTCTGTGTTTACCTTTTTTCGAAGGGTGTTGTAACCGCTCTTAACAGTGTAGTCGCCTTCCTTCGTGCCCGTCCAGATCAGTTTGTCTTCATTCATTTGTGGTCTGATATGTACTGTGAGGATCTCTCGTACTACCTGTTCATCGAATAGTCGTCGCAAAAGCGGTTCCTTCCATGTGCTTTCCTCTTGGTCTATCAATTCATCAACCTTTTTTGGGTCCCCCGCATTAGCCGGTCCCCCTATAATTCCCCTTTTGAGCCACTTATCCTCCCTGATGTTAATATTGTGCCCATTCCCTACTGACCACATGACTGAGTCTTCAATTGATGTGCGCCCCATGAGTATGCTCTGCCATCCCCAAGATGGTCTGGATCCCTTCTCTGCCTTCCAGAAGCTCTTGGTTGGGTAGTAGATACCCTTTAAAACTTGACTGCACAGAGTTGTATGATTTTGTGCTAATTGCCAAGCTTGTTTACCCAGCATGGCCTTGTTAAAAGATATTAAATCCCTAAACCCAAGGCCTCCCCTGTCTTTTCTCTGTTTGAGAACTTCGGCCTTCCTCCAGTGCACTCCTTTTGTTGCTGGTTGGTTCTTCCACCATAAGGCTGTGATTTTTTTCTCAAGGGTGAGAGACTTAACTTTTAGCTTTACTATCAAAACTTAAAACAGTAGGCGAGGAACAATTTATATGTGTACTTATCTGTCAACATTTGTAAGTTGGAAAAACTTTAAAAATGACAAACGGTTTAAGCGTAGTAAAATGTGTAACTGAGTGCGAGGCATCGTTGCAAGATTGGAAGAACCAAGCAATTGAAGGAGAACATGCTACCAACTGAGTAGATGGTTCTATTACGAGCCTCTGCCCCTCTTTGATGGAAGTCTCGGAGCCTTTACCGATTCGATTCAAATTGGTGTTTCGCAACTGCTTCTTGGCGTCAAAACAGCAGTCAGCCTGGGGAAGGTCATTACAGTTTTTTTCTATCTTTGGCTAAACAGAATAATTGTTTACCGCACAGCAAGAGCATGCTGTTCTACTCGAGTGCCCATGGATACCCAACAGAAGAACATTCTGAAGGAGAGATCTGGTACAGGCAACGATACCTTGCGCATAGTCGGGCCCATGAACAATCTCTTAAGCGATTGCATTACTTTCTCTAATTTCTAGCGTGTAAAAGCTAAATTTACTTTGATTGTATGTCTCGGGGGAAGGAGTGATTGCAGTTTTATAATCATAGAGAAGATTGTTAAGTACAACGAGGATTACTTCTATCCATAGAAACAAAATGATGCGAGCAGAAGAAAGTACTTTCAGATGCTATAATATCTCAAAGATTACATGGTGGGTTCTTGTCTTTTTGGAACTATTGGTTCTTGTCTCTGTCTCTCTCAAAATGAGCTCGGTTGCTTGCTGCGGTGGGTTGCCACCAGTGCACCAGCCTCGGGCAGGTTGGGAATCGCGAATCTAGGGTCGCGAGCTAAGGGTAGCAAATCGGCAGTGCTGGCCCGAGCATGGTACAATCCTACCGGTCAGGAGCTGTGCCCTGCCGCCTCGTCTACAACATCTCTCTCTCTCGCCGTGGCCCCGCGGAAGAATTTGAACTTCTATAAGACCTCATCTGCCACTTGTAACCCAACTTTCACGCCCAACTATACTTCCATTCTGTAAATCTGAGCACCCAATTACTCCCAATAAGGAATCTCAATCTCTATCAAATCCTCATTATCTTACTATACTCATTCTTTTTCAAATACCAGTTATCCATTTACTCTCCGAGTAATCTACCTACATTACCAATGGCCGGTTACAGATCGTAACTCTTTGAACACTCCTCAACAGTAGGTTACTCATGGTGGATTGAAAATGTAATCAAGACAGTAACTTTGCACCTATTATGTGAAAAGAGATATAACCATGCACAGGGTGAACTCCTCACGACCATGAGTTTCTAAGTACATCAAATCTTGTAAGGACAGACTACTGATCCACTTCCTGTTACATTGTGTTAGCACAAAACGACACATTTCGAAGCCGAAAGCTGCATGCCGGCAATGCCTTCTCTCTACCTACAAATGTACTCGATACTAGACGACGGGGACGGCAAGGACAGCCACGACAAAGAAGAAGACGAAGAGACATCCGATGATGGCACCGCCTTCGCCACTTGGTTATTCTTTCCAGTCAGCCTCTGCACCAAATCCATGAACTCCTCGGGCCTCACGTGTATAACCTTCGGCGACCTCAAGTACACTATGACCGGAGCCGAAGGGCTCGTCGCTCGAACCTTCTTCTTGATCTTGGCCGACTCCTTGCTCACCGCTAACTCCGCCGGCTTCGGACCTTGCAACCGCACCCTCCTGGCGCCGCTTCCTCCTGCGAACTCCATCTACAGCGGGGTCCTAACTGTAACCAAATAATATCAAGGAAGACACCCGGTTAACACCTCTCTCTCTCTCTCTCTCGAGCTTGTCGATGAGCTTTCAAGTTGTTCTCTGCTCTGCGTTACTGCATGGGAACTGAATCGGCCGATGCATTTGCTTATATATGCAGAGTAACGCGAGTTGACAGAGAATGAAGTTGACTGAGGCTCCGCCAAATAACTGGTCTCTACTTTGACACGGTCCGTGCTAATCTTTAGTCATTATTCTAGTGCCGTACTGAGTTAATTCTGCCGGCTGCGAATTGTTTATACGTAAAAAAATCGCCTGAGTGTTTTGACGTGGTTGAACCGTAGCAAGAGGACGAAAGAAAGGTGACATGACAGGGTCAAACCGATCGAGTCAAAAGTCCCAGATTTTAAAATGTCAACGCTGAGCTCTTCCTTTGTATTTTTTTTTATATCATTCGGGCTTCTACTTTTGTTGTTGAATCTTTGTGCTCGAGAACAGGAGATCTAAAACTTTTCAATCGGCACAGTACCATCGTGGGTTCTTGTTAAAACAATGGAAAAGTCAAAGGTAAGTCAAAGGTAAGAATCGCATAAATGAAAACTTTGACATAAAATTCAGAGCAGAAGATTTCGAGTCCGAGGTTTGTCAATCGACACGTGATTGAACTCTTACGAAAAGGTAATTTTGCCCATCCGGGATTGTTGAAGAATCAAAGAACATTCATCAGAAGATTTACGAAAGCTGATTAAACTATTAATAAAGGTGGTTACTTTTCCGTAGGTTGGAACTTTTGCTTCTTAGGCCTCGTTTGGTTTCATAACGAGGGATTCTCGAATGGAATCCTGCTGGACCTTCGATTCTCGACATCGGAAATGGCCCGGGTTGGCCTTGAACCCGTGGCCGAGCATTGAGCGAGCTGGGCGTGCTTCGCAAGGCTATGTGTTTGTGGGTCGAATAAAAACATCGGCACAGGTCGTGGCTTGATCTATGGAGAGACGTCTTGATAAAGATAGTTCATGATCGATATAGGCGTGATGATCCATTCAGGCTTAGATTTGGCCTCATGTGACCAGGTTGTGATTAGGCCCGTGCCACGGCACGTGCGCGACTCATACATGCGGGCTGTCCGAGTCCAAGATCGACCCAATCAAAAAGACTAGGATGCGAGCTTGAGTGAGCAAGGATGCGAGCTTGTGACAATTTGCATTCAGAGTAATCTCATTCCTTGTGTAGATTGCCAAAAATTTTGGCGTTCTAAGGAAAAAAAAAATACTTTTCAATTGGCAACTTGCACTGGCGATCGGCAAATGCCGGAACCGGTGCTGGCGGCGGCGACCGTGATTGAGTTGGGTATTAATGGTTTGAAATGGTGTTCAAAATGCGAAATTGGAATCTCAATACTTTGCTAGGTTCCATACTTTTCGAGAAGTCTTATTCCATGTGGAATCCAATTTCGTATTTTGATTTCTCTCCAAACATGAAGATTATGAGAATATGAATCCCATTCCTTAAGAAATCTAATTGCGCATTGAACCAAATGAGTCAAAATACTCATCTTACCATCGAAACCAACCTATTGAGATAGATGGATTGCAACTGACAACGGTTGTAGAGTCGAGTATATTACACGCATCTACTCATTTGGTTAACTTCGTAATTAGATGTTTAATTTTCGATCTTGAACTTGTCATTTCGTAAATCGATGTTAATGTTGCCGCTCGAACTCTCCCCTTTCGGTGAAAGAACATGTCACGTTGGCAATACATAAGTCATGTCACCTTATAGAAGCATTCGACTTGTTAAAGTTGGAACATTAAATTTCCATAATCCTAAACCAATGCTCAGAATTTTGAGCAAAGAGAATGCGTCTCTTGGTCAACGAAGCAGGATTGCCCAAGGTTGCATCCCTTCACAAGTCGTGTGCTGTGATTTCGAGACCGACTTCAAGAAAGTTATTAGAGGTGGGATCAATATTTCCATAAATAATTGACCGCATGACTTCGGCCAAAACTAAACTGTTTCTGCATCTGCGTGGTCAACTCAAGCCTAGGCAGGTTCTAGTCCAAGGTTCTCTTTTCAGTTCCACTTTAATTTGTTTAGTATACGTTTATGTGCATTGAAAGTCTTAAAATTTATTATGAAAATGTAATTAAGTCTTAAAATTTACAAAAAGTACAATCAAGTCCTCAAATTTATTGCACTCCCCAAGCAAGGCATCTCCAAACCCCAGGCGAGAGCCGGTGATCCTTGCTTAGATTTGGGGTGAGGGCCGTGCCCTCCCTCAAATTCGGGCCAACAAGCCCTCTCCGAGGGCTGCCAAGGCCTCGCTTGGGGCAACGAGGGTCACCGGGCTTCGAGAAGGCCCAAACGACCTCTACTGGCCGTTTTCGGCGACTGTGGCGGTGGCACTAGTGAGGGCTTGGCTACAACCTGAGTTTATTTTTTATTTTTATTTTAAAATTTAGCTTTTTTATTTATTTTAAATCTAATTTAGTTTGTATTTTTTTTTATTTTTAAAATATTTTTCTGACGCGGCATGTCTTAAAAAAGTAATAAAATAAGACACATCAGCATTTTCCGATAGCCAAATCGGACGGAGTTAACGGAATGACTCAATTGAACTGATCTGGCAAGTTTTATGACCTGATTGTACTTTTTGCAAGTTTTATGATTCAATCGCACTTTCGTGACAAATTTTAGGACTTCTCGTGAACTTATCCCTTTAGCATATGACGTTTTTCACCCGATTTTCAGGGGAATTGAATTCAATGAAAGTGCTGGTCACAAAACAGCTAGCCAAGGCTCTAGGCGACTCCTGCTTCATCCCATGGTGACCCAAGCTGGAAACTGGAAGGTGGATTCGACTGATCCACAAACGAAAGATCCTGTTCAAGGACCCATCCTTAGTGATCTTATTCGTCCTCCATTCCTTCTCTTAGCATTCCCCATATCTGTTGCTGTTATTCGTAAAATAATCGGTACGAATTTGGGACTAGATATAGTTAATTATATATGGTTGTGACCACATTGACTTGATGATGAAGTTATTATTAGCGTTCATATATATGTACGAAGTTTGAATGACAGATTGGACGGCACGGTGGAGCGTGAGGTTGACATAACACGAAGTTTAACAATTGCTACGCGACCGACCGACGAAGGCCGGAAAGCAACTTAACTCCACCATGGCTAGCTATTTACGGGAACACCGTAATACGTAGGTTTCGTTTAATTTGCGAAAAATGAATGATTTGAAAAATATTTTCCTAAAAATGATCGTTTGAAATCATTAGTCAATGGAACATTTTTTCATTATCGATAACAATTTACGTCTAAAAATTTTCGTAGATAATGAAAATATTTTTTGTTCATTCATTTTTTGTAAGAGACACAAGCAATTTTTTTTTCTAAAAAAATATTTTTTGCTGTGATGCGGTTGGGGTAGACTTGCAATATTTTAACTTATCTTTAGTGTCATGGACTCCACTCCTTTATCTTAGGTATCATCATGCACAACAGATCTATGCACTTAAAGCTTAGTTGGGTCATCTATAACTCAACTCATTCAGATTTGCGATTGATACTGCTTAACTATTGAACGATGAATCGGGATATTTTGATGTTGTTTCATCAAAGTTCACATATTCAAAATCGAATTAAACCGTGGGCTACCCACATCAATGTAGATACATATTAGGGCCTATTTGGTTCGGTTTTGGGGGAATGCATTTGACAAAATGCAAATACCTTTGAGTTAAAAGGGTTTTTCGAAATGCAAGTAGTGTTTGGTAACGTGTCTTTTAAAATCACATTTGAAAACAACTTTGGTCTAAATACCGTTTGGTAAAATCTTAATTTTGTAAAGGACTTTTGCTAATATTTAAAAAAAAAAAAAAATTGGCCTGAACCAGCCACCGCCGGCGACTGTCCGGCAGGCCAAAACGGCCGCCGGCCAACCTCCGGCGGCCAGATCTGGCCGCCGGCCAGCCTCGCCTGAGGTCGGCCGACCTCCGGCGACCACCGCCTGGGGGTCGCCCGACCCCGGCGACCGCCGCCTGGGGTCGCCCGACCTCACGCGGCGCTCGGGTCGCGCGACCCAGATCTGGGTCGCGACCCGAGTGCCGCCTGAGGCCGGGCGACCGCAGGCGGTGGTCGCCGGAGGTCAGCCGACCCCCAGGCGGCGGTCGCCGGACCCCTCAGCGGCCTCCGGTGTGGTTCCTTGGGCGCGATGAACAGTGACGGATGAATAGTGCCAATTGCATTTCGAAAATGCAATTTCCCCAAGGGACCTCATGAGGTGCATTCAACCAAAGGCCCTTAGGGAGCTTTGGAGATGCAATTGTTTCTCCTCAAAGCTTGCAAAAAAAATTGCCAAACAAGTTTGCATTTGCCCAAGGGCCTTTAGAGCCCCAAAGCAGCATTTGAATGCTAAACCAAACAGGGCCTTAATAAAAGGGTCTCAACTACTAGAGATCAACGTTCACTTTTGCATGAACTCACTCGCCTATAGCACCTTAGACGCAAGTGGTGAGGTTTTTTTCTTTTTTTTTTGATCCGTGTGAGGCGTACTTAACCAAGAAAGCCCATCGAAGGGAGGCAAAGTAAATTTCAATGGTCTTGAGGGGGGATTTGCAACCTAATTTGAAGAAAGGGCATTTTGTCTTTAGGCTTTAGTCACCCAGTTTGCAGCTTGGTTTGCACTTTTCCCCACATGGGCCACGAAGGCTGATCTGAACTCTTGATGGCGTTGTTGACTATTTCCAAGCAATCTCACTCACCTATGGTACCTTGGACGCAGCTGGTGAGGTTCGAAGGCAATTTTAGTACAGAAGAAAAAATGGTAGAGTGGGCCAACTGGTTTTTAATCAGCGTCCTTGAGGCCAAGCACAGTCAAATGGCGGCATTTCTTCTTTTGGAGATTTTGTAGATGTCGTCCCTGTGCGCATTGGATGACGCGCGGGGCATCTTTGGGAACCAAGATACAGTATGCCGCAAGGAAAAGTGTTAAAAAAGTTATAAATCTTTGATATTGACGTCAATTTAGTCCTAAAATTTTTTTTTGTGTCAATTTAGTTCTAAACCTTTTGCATTT